TCCAACTTTGCACAAAGTCTCTTTTGATCATGGACAATCTGCTGGCTACACTCCGAGGATCGATTAATTGTAAGCAATGAATTAATGAATTGAGTTGATTTCAATAACGTGGACTCAACCTGTTCTTGCTGATGTTGTTGGATATGAGGCCGATAATATGTGACATATCGTAATCCTCATAGAAGACTTCCATTCTAGAGTCAACCTGCAATAGAAACCCTCGTGAATGAGAGTGTTTTGTTTAAGCACTCACGCTTTTCAATCGCTTCAATGCACACATTCTGTAGTGATCGTTTAAAGAGATACGATAGAACATCGTGCAATGGCATTTTTCGCGTGAAACGCACGCAAATCATCACCGTCAAAGAATCTTTGAAATGATCTCCAAATTTTAGAGAATTTCCTTTCATTAATATAGAATCACCGAAATAATTCGTAAATTAGTGGGATTATTTTAGAATTGAAACTATCGAAAATAAATATGGTCGAGAGGACGAGATAATAATTTATGCAGCAGCGTCTTCGATGTATAGAGTAGGAATCGTTGAGAGATGAAAAATTCATGAAGAAAACGTTGAAAATGGACGAATGAAAGTATTGTAATGACGAAACGATTACATTATTTATAAGTTTCGCGGCGTGGTGAGTGTTGATTCTGAAGGTACATTAACATTTGCGTCAACTAAAGTGCGAATGTAGCAGCGTATGAAAAAGTGGGTAATGAATGTAATCCGTTCATTGAGGCTTTATGAATATAATCCTCTCTTATGAGGATTTCTCACTGCATCCGGATTAAGATTTGAGGATTTGTCGCCGACTCGAACCGCTTCAAACGCTTCGCGCCATGTTTGAACAGTTACGATTGTCATTAAAAATAACATCCTTAATAAAAGCCTCTCAAGTCATTATATGAGTTTCAGAATCCTGGTTATATAGCCAGCCTTATCACTCTATTGCCAGTGTCGAACACGCTAGTCATGTGGCGTTTATTCATGTCGAAAGCACTCAGAACGGATAAAGTCAATCCCTTATGAAACCTATTGAAAAATACATATTTCTAAGCTATGCTATATGATAACACAATCCTATATATGATTCTAAGTCAGCCGATAGAATTAATCCGACTGAAAATGCACAGCAACGTTTCAACAGGATTATACATTTGAGGGCCAATAAACAAAGAAATATAAACAATGACAAAACACATGTAATGAGCTGTTTCTATAGACTTAACGACCGTTTAGCAACTTTGAAAATTTTCAAATCACTTCATATCTTTACTTCCTCCCAAGCTATTGGACGGATCCGAGTTACGAATCCCTACGATTTTTTCATTCCATCGAACACCAAAGATTTTTTCTGAATCGAATATGCTCATAAAATGCCATCATCCATAACTATGAATACAGCCGCCTACGATGATTGAATTCTAGCTTGAAAATTACGAAATCTCTTATCTACGTGGANGCTTGCTTTCCCCCCAACTATATGACCGACCATTCCTTATCAGTTATAGCTTTAACGCCGAGTCTGATTTTAATTTAACATTTCATTCCAAACTGAGTTTCGTTTTCAGGTTGACTGAATTTCATTCGAATTTCATCTTAAATGCTAAAATTCTTAGTCGTTTGATTGTTTCGAGGAAACAATCGGAGGAACTGATGGGATTGCGGATTTCCCTTACCATAACGAAAAAAAACCACTAATACGACCACGCAACTTAACGGAAACGATACAGTACACTCAGATCGAACATCAAAGGAAGTGAAGCATCTCGCGCAACAAATATTGAAAATGAAAATGAATCGAGCACAAGAATTCATCTTCTATTTCGTTCAATCGTATTATGTACTCTTGATGTGATTCCTATTAAATTTCATATGATCAACGAAGCAAGAGAACGAAATTATCGCAACTGGACCGTGGAAATCACAGCACCTTCTCAGAAGATTCCAAAAAAAAAACACAATTAAGTAAATGAATGAAATTCCTCTCAACATCCACCTCATTAAATTATTCACAACGATGGATAAAGTTAGAAACAGAACGGTTTTAATTGAAAATTTGATAGTAAAAGCTATTCAGCAATTTATCAACTAAACAGTTGATGTAAGTGAAGGGATGAATTGCTGCAAAAGTGTGCCCAACCCCACGAATAACCATTAAAAATGTGAACACTTACGTTTTTTATGCACATGAAACTTGGAAAAATATCTGAACAGGAATATCACTGTCATTGTGTCATGAGCTGTTTAGCTTATAGTTGTTTGAAAAGCACATTTAAAGGAGTAAATTGAACATTTAGAACAGCCACTTTGAAAGTGTTTCAAAGATTCCCTTCGTGAATTCTTGTTGTGTTTCAGTAAGCCGCGTGAAACAGAGCAGTAAATTATGCCATAGCATCGAACTGCCATTAAAGTATGACTTTCGCTTATAATGCCAACTATTCTTCTGTTCATTGTCAGTTTTTTCTATTCATTGTAATGCCTTTTTTTTACTTCATTGCGAAATGTTTTGAAAACGTTTGAGCTTATTTTCAATAGCATTCTTATTCGTAATCTTGATATTGAGAGTACGCAGATTATTCAATTAGCTAATTTCAGCTAACTGCATGTGAAGAGAGAAAAATGTACAGGTGACTGTTCGCTCTGTTTGATCATAATTTCTCCGATAATAAGATTAATATGAACAGAATGTGAAGGGCGCTTGTAGCTTAATGATAACTGATCAACGACCATAATCCCTGGTTGTAACTCTATTAGAATTTGTATGTGCTCAATGACGAAGCATAGAGATTGAGGACTGTAACTCGACTTGATAAATACAATTTCAATGAAATGCGATCAGCTCGAAGGAAGGAGTGAAAAAAGTAGGACGACAAATGGATACGATTCATCTGTTATCAGCCTGAAATGTTTATACAAACAAGTGTTCATCGTGTTAAAAAAGCCTCAACGAGCACAGCAGCAGATCATTTGTATTCGACCAAAAAATGACGACAACGTTGTTGCAGTCACTAGTGCTGAATGCTCGATAATGAACGCTTCAGAAATGAGGCGAATTTACGAATTCGTTTGTTTTTTGAATGGTTAATTATTGAATATCCATGGATGATTGCGTTACATTATTCTTGTTGTGAAACGAAAATTTCGTGAAGCATTCATCAAATAATTCTAAAGCTGTTGATGATGATGTTTTGTTTCGAGATTTGTTCGTGTTGACTGCTCTTTGATTCGTACATCGCGTTCTGACCGACCAGCTGCAATTTCGATGCGACGATATTCGTCACAGCGAAATAATTTGAATTCCTTTCATTCATCAACAAATTTTTCGTAGCTTCCAATACAGACCGCATCAGAAAATACGAATAAACGAGCACTGAGTCCTGCTATCAATGCAAATGTCCTTTACATGTCCAGCTCGTAATCCAATCACGCAGGCGAACGAACATGATACTGTAGAAGCGTCGAGATATGATCACTTGCTTGATCACTGATAATGAGATGTTTCATGGCTAAGAGACACCTGATACAATGACATCTAATTACAGTGGATTGTTCCATCGATAGAATCAAATTGCTGGGATTAGTTGAAGCAAACTACAATGACTCTTTTGATTTTAGTGGTGATGTCAACTATCAGTTATGATTGATTGAGGAACTATGACCATGCTATAATTTCAGTCGCACAGGAAAACCTTGCTTTATTTATAGCAGTTCTGTCATATGACGCCTAGCAACCTCGATTAGTCGAGGATATCCTTTTTTTTGTAATGATCTAAATGCTTTTGTTGAATGGCATCATCATGTTAATGCCATACTCTACTGTTGATGATTTTTTTCCAATGGCTCAATCGTTAATTTGATAGCGAGAGATTTCTACCTGACAGCCACATTACAATTCGGAAATTACTGATTTTAGAGCACTGAGTTTGACGCAATTTTGATTTGAAACTCTGGTGATAGCTANTGATGAAAAAGCAACACAGTTGAGCTATTCGGGTCAGATATGGGCAAATGGCTGTTGATGAACACGAAAGAGAAGGACATCGATGGTAAGTACTAAGTACAAGTTTCAAAGCAAATTAATGGACAAGCGAAGGGCACCCAAATAAATCACCTAAAATTACTGAAATAACTGCTGAAAATAGGAGTTGGATTATAGAATGGAGGTTTTCATCAGATAATTGCTCCGAACAAATTCGGAGCAATCACATCAGCTGGCATCTGTAGAATAGGATTTCCCTAAACAATTGATCATTTATCTGTGGTGAGTTTACACGGAACTTTTTTTTTCGATTGACCGACCGTATCAACTCTCTGGACGGTTTGAACAATTCGATCTGCGGTTGGTCGTCAAACAATCTCGCTCAGAGAGCATTATATCTGATCCCGAGGCTCTGCCAATGAATGATATGAATGGTTATAGAAGCAAACAAAAGCGATAAATATAAGATCAGCAATGTTCTTGGTGATTGAATCCTCCATAGGCCAACGTTGCATATGAATTTGAGAAATCCTAACGGATTCAAGTATTTATAGGAGGAGAAATCATTTGTATCGAGTTTAAATAATCCAATTGTTCAATAAAAATGTGGAAATCTCGAAAAATACAATGTGATATGCATTGATTATGAGAGGTGCAAATTCACTTTTCGAAAACACGACTATTGTAATCACGCAATCTCGTTAAGCGTGATCGTTTGACAGTGCTATATTTTCTATGAAATACTGCGACAATTAGCACAAAACCTGTGCTCACATCAGATCACTGTAACAGTAATAGTAACAAATATCCGTAATAATTTTAACTGATAACGATAACCAGCGAAGTGATTTACTGATCGTGAGTTACATTCATGAAAATCACTGTATATGATCAATCGCACTGCATCAGTATTGCAACAAATGTGAACCTGAACAAATTTATGAATAAACATGTTTTCTATACAATACACACGAAGAGTCAAGGTTCATCAGTTGTATGCGTATGGCTGAAAGTCATAAACGAAAAGCACGGAAAAGATTCAGAATGCTTAAACGCCTTTGATTAGCAGTCGCGTCATTCATGTGCTGTGCAACCACTGAATTTGCCATGATAATTGCAGATTGCTGAAGAATTTGTCGTAGACGTTCTTGTTCACGTAGACGACGTAGCATACGCATTTCGAACAGATGATTCAAATAGACATAGAGTAAAAACGCGACAACGATACCCAAAATAACGAATGACATATAGCGTGAGGTGGCTGTTTCTCTGAAATTCCATTCACTGAAATCTTAGCATGGTCATCTTATGCATGGTGAAACAATCCGAAGATCACTTTTTCATGGTTTCGTTTCGTAAAATATGCATTCAGTATTGCATGAGATGGCTAGATTAATATCCGATTTGATTCCTGCTCTTTCTTCACTATTCACTTTAATTACTTTTACTGTAATTATTATTGTTATTACCATCAGTATAATCATTAATGCTATATCATAGAGCATGGTATGCAGTGGAATACAGTGAGTCCCTGTATGATGTGTCTTCAATGCGAAAATTTTCAACTGAAAATTCTGATTTTGGACTAGTAAGGATCATCTAGAATATCTCAATATTCCTCTCGTTGCATACGAATTGGGCGTTCTTGTGTCCTGCTGTGTTCCATTCGAAAAAATTCAGCTAAAAGTCATCACTCGTCGCAGTTAGCAACCTCATCCTACCGCCCTCCTAATAGCTCGCCTGCATCAAAAGTGGATTGCCTCTATTTGTGAGTATCATCATTGTGGTTATGGCAACCGAACAATTGCCTAAATGCATGGCACAATTCATCAACAGCGATATTTCAAAACACTCAAACGATGACAATAGATATCAAATCGATAATTTCAATTCAAAGCACTCAAATCATGATCATGGAAGAAATTTCTTGATATTTACTTCTATCAAATATTTATCACAAATGTTTATCACTATCACTCTTGTTTATTACTTACAACTATTGTCTGGTTAAGTCATTCAATTGGAAATGACATTTCTAGACTGAACCAGAAGTTGGAAATAAGTTGAAATTTTGAAAGATTCAGTGGAATTGTTGTGGAAAAACAGCAAAAATTCACCCAAAAATAGCTGGTGAAATGATTTGTTAGTAGATCTATCAACGCCTGCCCAAAGAGCATGAAAACGCTATATACCTCTGAATGATCCCAGGTGAGTATTTACCATAATCCGGATGATATTTGGATTCGTGACTCCATATAATCACCGGTTCATTCATACCAGCTCTCCAGTCATCATTCTGATCGCTGATGAGCGCATCGAGCAAAAGTGACATATTTTCGGGTGTATAAAACGTTCCATATTTCCTACGAATAGATCTGAGCTTGTTTGGAAACTCATTTTCACCATCTCAAACTTTGAAATGATTCTAGAAAACACTGTTCCATTGGCAGGATAGACTATTCACGATAGTCAGATCCTAGCCTACCGGAAAACAGTATATTGTTAACAAATTCGATGCAAACCTGTCATCGAAAGGCAATTTTCCATCAGTAACCGTCAAAATACTGGACTGATTCTGTCTGGATTCTTCACGATCTAACGTTCTTTCCACAGTTGTGATATCAACTGCATTCGACGATGAGACAAATGATGACTTTCTAGAATCTGATAACTCCCAGATGCTACTTCTTGATACAGCAACGCTATCACCATCGTTATCGTTGTCCATCCCGTTGTCGTCTAAAGTCGTCGAAGGCACAGGTCGTGCGTGCAGCATTTTGAGCAAATCAAGAGTCACCGTAACTCTGACCAAACAGCAATATCCACGAAAACAACGCATTCATCTGGACCAGCTCATCTGCAATTTCTCTTTATTTAAAGCCTTTAGGAAAGTGTTCATTAAGTCTATTCATTAAAATTCGTTTTTCAAGCGATTGCAATTAACGCAGTTTCGTTCGTTGAAGTTTTACGAAGTGAAACACAACGGAAATCCATTATTCTGAACACTTAACTTTCGAACATAATGCATTTATGCAGATGTCTGTCACATGTATTCAAATTGATCAGAGTAATCAAAAATTATAATCTGAATATGAAATGTTTCAGTAAAACTCATCGAATGATGACATCAATTTGCTGGTGGCGTAGATGTTAATGTGGCACTTTCGAACTATTTGAACGCTTAATAGTTTAATGAAAGTTTTATGAATTTTTTTTAAACCTTTTTAGTGGTTGTTTTGGATTTGTGCTGCGTACTGCATTAAGCTCGTTGCAGCATTTTGAAAATCAAACATTTTAAAGCTACGACCAAATATGACAGATAAGAGCAGTTTTTTTTTTTGAGAAATACAGGTCGTTGTCGCCCACACGTAGCGTTGATCGGCTCAGTTCAGTGGCGACGTAAAACCTCAACTATTCTGGAGTTTCGATATTTTTGAGCAAAATTACGCACATTACTGATGTTCGAAAACTGACCGATAGGTTTAGTTAGGCAGGTTCAAGCGTAGTGAAACGCATTTAAACAAAACGTCGTTCAAAAGAATGCGATATTTCCTCCATATTCGCGTTTTGATGAAAAATGATTTGAAGATCGTGATGGAAGAAAGCTGAGCACTCTTTAGAGAATTCTGTACGTTTCAGATGAAAAAAAGCGCAAAACCATGAAAAATCACTAGGCGGACAAGAATAAAAGTCTACACTAATATGACGAGAAGCAATGCGATAAAATAATCCATGCATTTCACTATAAACGCACATTAATTCACAATGGCAAAACACGATTGACTCAATAATAAACATCATATGGATGGAGGGTACATGCGCACCGCCGACAGAATATGTTCGGCTTGTTAAGATCGTTTGACACTTCCGCAACGATTGACAGCAGAATCGGATGAAACAAGCAATGACAGATGATGAAGTAGGATCGATGCAACTCAGTAAGCAGCCATCTTGGATTACAACATAAACGCTGAGGTGTTGTCGAGAGTTCAGTCTCAGTCCGGAAGCAGCATCTGATCATCATAACGATTCCA